TAACCAGTCACGCAATTTGAATAATTCCAATAATTTTCCCATAGTGGGCAATGAAAAGTTGCAAGTGGATAAGTGGAATATTTCTTATGATGGAAGCGATGATGTAGATGAATTTTAATTCAAAGTAGCTACCTTAGTAAAAAGACACAATTGCTCGGAATCTCGATTGTTAGCGGAATTTCATGTACTCTTAGGAGGAAAATCCGAAAAATGGTATTGGTTCTATCTGAAGCAAGAACCAGAAGCTTCTTTCAAAGATTTAAAATCATCTATTACTCATAAGTTCGGAGAGACAGACAACGAATCTGAAAGATTGATGCGTGTTATTGGGAGACAACAGCAATTTAAGGAAACGTTTGATGAATTTTATATGGATGTAGTCACAAAGAATTCACGTCTGAAAGAGCCGTTACGTGATGCAAAACTAGCAGATATTATAACAGGAAATGTAAGAGAATCGTTAGGCAATCCATTGTTTGCTTAAAGCATTTTCAGCTTAGATCACTTTTTGTCAGAAGCTCGTAAGGCTGAAAAGTTCATGGCTCGTGGGCAAAGTAGACGCTTGCAGCAGACAACTGGTAAATTCGCAAATGAAATAGAAGTATCTAAGCTAAAGGCAGAGGAATCGGACATTGAAGAGGAACTAGAATTAGCTGCTTTTAAGAAATTCGAGAAAAATTCGGACAAAGCAGCAGATAAGTCCAAGTATAAGTGTTGGAACTGTGATCAAATAAGTCACTCGTTTCATGACTGTCCGTCTGTAACAAGGATTCTTTTTTGTTACCGTTGTGGAGAGAAAAATGTAACCTCGATTACTTGTTCTAAGCATAGGGGAAACAATTAGCCGAACGAGTGTTTAAAGGAGTTAACTCGTTCGAGAAAGTAACCCCTATCAAACAATTATATAAGCCTAAAACAGAGAAAATGAGTGAAGTTAATGTAAATGAATTACATACATTACGTTTAGAACAGCTTAAGGATAAGTTAAGTCTAAGAAAGATATCATCTAAAATATTGAAATGTAGAGAAAAATATAAAAATAGAAGGCATTTACGAAAAGAATTAGAAACTATTATTTGCAGCGAGATTAATGACAATGCCAAAATTCAGTTAGGAGATGAAGAAGTATATGGTTTATGAGACTCAGGTGCATCAGTTAGTGTATTAGGAAAATATTGTTTGGAGAAAATTGACAAGATGCGTTTATCAACTAAAGAATTAAACTGTTCAGTTAAAACTGCTGATGGTAAATTACAAGACATATTGGGAACGGTAGAAATAGTAATTTCTTATAATGGATTAGAGAAAATAATTTTATTTTATTTAGTACCCAGTCTACAATAAGAAGTTTACTTAGGAGTTAATTTTTGGAAAGAGTTTGATATAGCTCCGAAGTTGATGTCGGCATTAGAAGTGCAACCGAAAAAGTTTCAATGATTGTAAGCAAATTTTTGTCGAATACTCAAACTAGACAACTTAAGGAAATTATTGAAGAATTTGCATCATTCACTAAATTTGGATTAGGTCGTACCAACTTGGATATCCATGATATCTCCTTGGTGCAGTCCCATGGTATTAGTTAGAAAACCAGTAAAGGTCAGATTGTGTATGGATTCTCGGCGATTAAACTCCATTACAAAGAAAGATGCATATCCACTGCCGCACTTCAACGGATTACTCAGTCGATTGCAAGATACGTGCTTCATTTCGGGTATAGATCTGAAAGATGCTTATAGACAGATTCGAGAGAAAAAACGGATTTCGCTATTCCAGGAAGACCTTTGTATCAATTCACTTGGATGCCATTCGGCTTGTGTAATTCGGCACAAAGAATGAGTAGATTAATGGAAAAGGTAATACCAGGAACGTTGGGAGAACAAGTTTTTATTTATCTTGATGATAGATGCAATTCTGATTTTGATAGTCATCTTAAAACTCTAAGACAAGTAGCAGATTGTTTGAAAAAGGCACAATTAACTATAAATGTCGAGAAGAGTAAATTTTGTCAACAAGAAATTAAATACCTAGGTAATATTGTGGGTCAAGGAACATTGAAAACTAACCCTGGGAAAGTAGAGGATATCGTTCGTTTTCCAGTACCGACAACACAACGGCAGGTCAGATGATTTCTGGGCATGACTGAATATTATTGACAGTTTATCCCAAATTATGCTGAGCATCAAAATTTGCTTTATTGCCGGAGGCAAGACAGGCAGTTGCAAATCTTAAGCAAGCATTGATAACAGCCCCAGTGTTGTTACAACCAGATTTTAGTAAAGAGTTTAACATTCAATGGGACGCGATCAGGAGTAGGTGGCGTTTTAACGCAATGCGATTCAAACGGCCAAGAACACCCTATAGCTTACGTTTCTCAGAAATTAAAGAAACGAGAAAAAAAATTACACAGACACAGAGTTAGAATGCTCAGCAGCTATAGTATTTTTGAAAAGAGTTAGACCCTATGTGGAAGGCTTACCATTCAAAGTGATAACTGATCATGCCAGTCTTAAATGGCTCATGACTCAAAAAGATGTAATGAGAAGACTAGGCAGATGGAGCTTAAGACTGCAACAGTATGATTTCAAAATTGAGTACCGTAAAGGCGCACTTAATGTATTGTCCGATAGTCTGTCTAGGGGATATTTAGATTGTTTAGATGCACCACAGTTGATGTCAGAAATTTATTTGGAACATCCCAATTTTCAATCATCAGTGTATGACGAATTGAGAACGCTAGTTAGTAAAAATGCCAATTCGTTGCCAGATATTTGTGTTTCGGGCAAGTTCGTATACCAAAGGGTTCAATTTTGAAGATGAAGTCAGCTTATGGCGATTGTGGCTACCGAGCAAGTTACGATCTTAAGTTATTGCCAGTAATCATAAGGAATCAACGTGTCATGCAGGTTTTGGTAAAACTCTTGCTCGAATTAGAAAAAATATTATTGGCCCATTATGTGTAAAGAAGTAAAGGTATTTGTAGATCAATGTGAAAATTGTAAGATGGCAAAGGCAAGTAACATTATTCAAAGACCACCCATGGGAAAACAAATAATTACTGAGAGACCGTTTCAAAGAATTTATGTGGATTTGTTGGGACCGTATCTGAGAACTAAACTAGGTAATTCCATGGAATTTATTGCTATTGATCATTTTACGAAATATATATTCTTAAAAGCATTGAAGAAAGCCAATAGCATAAATATAGTTCACTATTTAGAAGAACAAATATTCATATTTCATTTTGGTGTACCACAAATTTTGGTGTCCTCAAATGGTAGAGTTTTTGCATTAATATGGGATTACACAAATACGTACAGGTTTATATTCTTCTCAAGCAAATGTCAGTGAGAGAGTAAATAGAGAAATTTAAGTTAAACTAAGAATACTGTTTAAGGAAAAAAACGATCAGTGGGATAAGCATTTGTCAGAAATTTATATTGTTTTGCGTAGTGATTATCACACCTCACTAAAATGTATTCCACATTTTAGCCTGTTTGGTCAGCCTATGTTAAGGCATGGAAAAAGTTATACATTGTTACAACAATTAGAAGCGTTTCGAGATTATCAGGTGAATGTGATGCCACATAGTAATAAAATGCAACTGCTACATGACAAAATAAAAGACAATTTATTAGAAGCACATTAAAAGCAGAATGTTGTTATCGTAGATCGAAATGGGTAAAAAGAAGGACAGGACATTTTTAGAAAGAATTTTACTCAAAGCAATGCTGGTAAAGGCATTAATGTCAAACTCTTGCCTGCATATATAAAATATCGAATAAGAAAATAAAAGGAAGGAAAGTTTGTAGGAAAATTCCATGCTAAAGATCTAAAGGCTACGTAATATGCCCGGCTTTATCTCAGGTTGTGGTCGAGCCCCACGAGAGAAACATTGTGAGGGAAGATAAGTCAACCGTTTCTTCCTTTTCTTCGGCTAAGAAGCCTGCGAAGAAGGTGGTGTTACGGCTGCCTTGTAAAATAGATATCAAAAGCATTGGAAGGATCCCGTTGATTGGAGAGCTTTTTTTTTTTGATACCGATGCTGAGGCCAAGCAAAAACGCGTGGCGTGATTTCTTTTTAATTTCGGCGGCACTACGAAGCAGACGTGTACTTAAGAGCTCAAGAAAGCACAAGAAATTTATCACAAACCGAATACTAATCTACTGGCCAATAGTTCAGCCGACGAAGTTTAAGCCATGTTGCCATAGCCACGGGTGTGAAACCCACCTCGAGGGTCTGCCACCACGAGTATGAAATTCTAGAAGAACTTTCTCTATCCACGGAAAGGCAAAATTTCGGCGGAGTGCCGTTGGCATAAGCAGCTTCAACGTCAAGAATTTTGGTGAACACGTGAGCTTCGACGTAACCTGCAGTTTCGGAAGGCCAATGTATAAAGTGACTCTGCCAAGCCATCCATGTATATCGACAGCAGTACTGCCTTCGTTATTAAAATTGCTAAGAAAAACTAATGCGAACTTCAATCAAGATCTTCGCAAATCCAACTTATTAATGGTGCAGCGTGGACCGGCAAGATGATAGATCCAAAGAGATGGAGTGACAAGATGAAATTTTAAATGGAGCGTCGACTTTGAATTATCCTTAGTGTACATAGGTACACTAAACATTTAAATATTAACTGATCATGTTTTTTTTTATTCAATGATTTTTGCAAGGAACGGTATACTTGCTTGTAGAATGTAAGCTTATTGATATGTACGAAAACTAAAGTCTTTTTCATGTACAGATGGTGCTGATTTAAGCTCAAACATCACTTTCATAAATCATCGTTCACCGACATCATAATCAGTATAAGCGTTGATATAATGACATTTAACAAGATCATTAATTGTGTATTAAATGTATTAGTAATATAATGAAATTCACTTTGAATTAAATCTCATTTGAGGCATGCAGATGTGGAAGTATAAAGGCATATAAAGGGACAATCTCATATAATTTACACACGACGATTGTCATGGCGTTGCTTTGAGTAGAGCAAGTTATAGGGAGAGAAAATTAAGTGTGTAGCCTCAGTTATGCCATCCAACTGAGCTGAAAACAATCATGTATGATAACGACTGTCCGCCCTTCTGGTAATACTGCAACAGTCTTGACACGTGTATTTCTTATTTATTGTTTCGGTAGCAGTAGCATTTTTTGGCTACCCGTTTTGTTAGTTTCGACCAGGCGTGTCAAGCAAGAAACGAACACTCATAAGAATAGATCATGAATAAGTGAAAGAGTCATAGGTATCAAGTATAAATTAGTGCACTATTCTAGCCGCCTACAGCCTACAACGTACCATAGAAGCTTAACGGCTTATTTTCTTAAGTTGAGTTCTTTCTTATCCTTATAATTCTTACAACTAACTAAACTCAATTATAATACTAATGGCTCCTTGCCTCTTATTTAGATAAGATCTTATTCAATAAAATTAATGCTTATAAACTAACAAAACAAACTAAATTATAACGTCAATGGCTCCTTCCCGTGACTTTGTTCTATAAACATGACGGCTCCTTACCGTGCAAGAGTTAAGGAAAATCTAATTTTTTTTATTTTTTGCAGACGCAATATCTTTTGCGGCGTTTCCATCACTGTCGGAGATCACTGAAGCTTTTTCTTAAAAGGTAATAGGTATAAAGATACATATATATGCGAATGTACACATAAGGCTAGCCAGAACTAAATTTAATAATCTACAAATCTTTTCTCTTTCAGGGGCTCAAATATGAGTCTGCTTCTGACTCTGCCTGTTGCTTGGGGTGAGGCTGGGCGTTATAGAACGAACTCACTCGGATGATGTGGGAGTGGTCTCGCCTGCGGCTTTGGTTGCTCGTTTCGACGTCGTGATTGTTGCGTCGAAGCTCGAAGCGTCGGGAGTATCTGGGGTGGCTGGCAGGCGTCCTCCGCCGTGGAATTCAGTCGCTGCGCGCTCCTTATTGCTGAGGTTACTCTCATAAAGTTTTCTTTCCGTCGTTTTTGAAAGTCTTAGGTGCCATTTGTATACTGTAATTCCAGCAATACGTTTGCATTTAATAAATTTTGGTTTGTAAGTAAGCACACCCGTTGTCGTGATTAAGTTTAAACCAACATCAAATGCATATATTCTATTTTAGAAGCTATATGTCAAGTTTGGTGACTCTAGCTCTTATTATTTACCAAAATTGCCCAAAAAAACAGAATATCGATATCTATTTTTATCGATTGCTTGGAAACGGTGTAAGTTGTCGATTATCGGAAACAAACTTGATCCGCGTAGGCACTAGGAGCACCTACATATACAATTTCAAGTCTCTAGCTCTTATAGGTTCTGAGATCCTTACGTTCATACATACGGACGGACGGACGGACAGATGGACATGGCTAGATCGACTCGGCTATTGATGCTGATCAAGAATATATATACTTTATGGTCGGAGATACTTCCTTCTGCCTGTTACATACATTTGAATTTTGCACAAATACAATATACCCTTATACCCATTTTTAATGGGTTCAGGGTATAAAAATTATTGATCAAAATCAATCACATAGGAACTTAAGGAATACCTTTTTCATCGATTTGGGAAATTCCCCCCGCAACAGTGGTAAATTGTCGGAAAAGGTTTGTATGAAAGTTGTTTGTTCATTTGTAAAGCTTTTTGAGTTAGTTCAAACGTGCCACGGACAAGGCCGTGTTATAGCCGCTAGTACATATATATGCAACAAAAGTTCATTTATTTTCATCGCCCTTAGTGGCCTAGAGAGCCCTTAATTCCCACTAATTTCTTTTCTTATAAAAAACATACCATTTTTTTCAGCGTGGCGACAATTCCCGGCGACAATTGGCTGTAGTTTTCGGTGACGTCTTTTCTTTATTGTTGTTCTGTTGTTATATAAAGATATATGTAAGTTAACAGAGGCCAACGATACCAGCTCCAGACGATGATATAGCTCTGGGCCGGATGTTCTTACGAGTTGACAGGGGTCAGCGAAATGCAATTTAACACCAGCCACAGATGCTGACATAGCTCTGAGCCGGATGTTCTTGCACGACGGCAGCGCACGAGGCGCAAGCTAAGCATTCTAGCGGCAGTTGTGAAAAGCACACAATAGCTTAGGTAATTTTGATCAATCTTTTGTAAGTTTAGTTTTAATTTGGCTTTCACTGAGGCACATCGGCCCAGCAACTTCGGTAATAAATTAACTCACTCACTACGGCGAATCGGCCTACTGTTTTATAAACCGTAATCAATTAATTAATTTTGTGTTTCTTAAATAATCAAATAATCAAAAATAAAGTCTTATAACGAAAATCCGCGAGGACTTATTATTTAAATTTTAATATATATATATACGTTCTTCCCGGCGGCAATTGGCCATAGCATTCGGCGACGTCTTTTCTTTATTGTTGTTCTGCTAAAAATTAAATGTTTAAAAATTTATACTCATTTGTAATAATTATTAGATGCTGCAAATAATTATACGCACCTGTTGTATTTGAAAACAAACGTCCGCTTGCATGTGATGATTTACCATCACATGCAAGCCGAGTAAAGAGATTCTACAAAGATAAATGTAATAAGAAATACTGTTAATTGTCAATAATAACAAGAAAGAAAATAATTATACGCACCTGCTTGCTACGCACATACTGTCCGGCTAATTATCTGCCGACACGGGCTGATGAAGGCCATCTAATGGCCAAAATGAGGAAGACGAGATCAGGTGATCGTCTCAGGTCGAGCGACGCGATCTGGAGAAGTAAATAGGGTGAATAGTGTGTATTTTTGTTAATTTATATTAGCGTCCCACCTTTGATGTTTAATTTTTTTTTTGGCACACTGTTATTGTTGTTTATTTATTAGTGGTTACAGCTGTTTGACGGTTATCGATTTTGTGGCTCGTTTTGGATAGTGTTCTGTAGGCCAGTTTTGTTACAAATATTAAGGCTTGTTGATACCAATTGTGGGGACTGCGGGCCAGGGATGGGACAACACCCAGAGAACCGATGAGCCATGAGCGCAACAAGATACATTTTTTTTTTTATATCTTCACCAAAGTCCGCAATGGTTTTGCAGATATGTGAAAATTATAAGGAATAAATTTGCGGACCTAGGTGAAGATATCTAAAAAAAAAAAAAACAAACGATACCAAACGAAACGTAAATTGTACGCTTAACAACATATAGAAATGCTTTTCAATGTGAGTGATTCCGGTTCCGGAACTAAGTTCCAAAACTCGTCGCTGGGTCACCGTTGCTAATTTGACGCACGTGCACAATGAACAAGAAAGAAGGAACATATTCACACATGTACAATTTTGCGTCGTTAGTCCGCACGTGTTTTATGAAATGTTCCGAAAAGGTGGTATGCTTAACACATTTGCACAGGAGGACCAAAATGTTTACCTAAATGTGCTGGACCAGAATTATAACGGGGCTGTGAGTTTAAAGAACAAAGATTAGAACACTTATGCAAAAACGATTTTATTACAGAACGCGGCATCGCAGTCTCAATCAATCACTGTACTGCTTTTCAAAACCAAAACTCGATCGATCGGATTGCGTTTTCTTATAAAATATCTCAACCAATTCCCAAATAATTTTCAAGATAAAGCATTCGCTTGGTTGACGGTTCTAATTAGAACCTGTAATTCAAAAGAAATAAGTTTATATGGCGAACTAATCTTTGAAGCTTTGGGTACGTTTAAAAATTATTTATTTAATGTCGGTATGTTTATATATTAGTGACCAACTTCAACTATATTGATTGTACAATCAAAATTTTCCGAATACCCTTCCTATTGCAGATATATAATGTAATAGTTTGATGATGGTTAAATTTTCCGCAGTAAATGCTGAGTTTGGTCAAGATGCCTTGAAAACCTAAGAACTTTCTTTTCAGCCTTTGTTCATTGTAAATATTATAATTAAAATCATAAGAGGAGCATAGTTAGTGCTGATCAAAAATTTTTGGGTCGGAGATGTGTCCTATTCCCCATCATAAATATTACAAAATATAATACGTCGGTACGTAAGCACTCTTGAGTAGAACTTTTTTTTTTATGCAAAAATAATGACCATTGTACAGAAAAGTTTACACATTTTTACACGTTAGGCTTGGTCCTCTTAATTGTTATTTACAAATTTGTAAAATTTTGAACAGATTTTTGGCAACGATTTAAAAAAAAACCCTGTACAAACGTGTATCAATTATGTTTAAGATTATGAAGATTAAATACTTTAGCATATTTATGGCAGATGTGTTGTATATTTAAATTCTTTACAGTGTTTACATACTTAATCTTTTTTCTTTCGGATTTATTTAATAAATTAATTAAACGGGCTATCTTCGGCACGCCGAAGTTTTAATACCCTTGCATACCCAACCTTTTCAGACAAGAACTTTATTTTCGACTGACTATGGCAATTATATGATATAGTGGTCCGATATAAATAAGATTTTGCGTAAATGTAGAGAGCATAGTGAAACTTATAAATGCCGAGTTTGGTCAAGTTTCCTATGTCAGCTATATGATGTAGTAGTCCGATCCAACCGGCTCCGACGTACACTAGTCGGCATAAGTATTTTGACGAAACCTTTTTCTCACTATTGAACATAGCCTTACTTAGTATCGTTAAATAACGGTAAGAAATTAATGCGCAAAACCAAGAATATATTTTTAGCTCTATGTATTTTACATTTTATATTGTTTAACTTTTGTATTATCTATCTGTTGATAAGAATACATGGAGACATCAAATTTTTGCGTGGCATAAGTATTTTGACGGAATCTTTGTGTTTATATGTTTGAACTTTGGAGCACGTTACAGACGAACAACTTCTGTTTTTAAGTTTAATTGATACAAAACGTTAATAAAAGGAAAATGGATAAAAATGTATTATAAACCAGGGATAAAACACCAGAGTGGAATTTGGTTACCAGATCTTCGATGGTAGCCAAGTTTAAAGCTGCAACGGCAGTAAAAGACATAGCAAAATAGTACAATATTTCGAGTCAAAAAGTTCGTTACTATCAAATTAATAAGTTTAAAAAGTATTATGACATTATTAACATAGCGAGATTAGGTGCTAAGCGCAAAACAATGTCCACCCAAGTCTGAGTCCTCAAAAGACTGGCCTTCGCAAAGGAACATCTGCACAAGCCAAATGAGTTCTGGAGAAGCATTCTATGGACAGATGAAAGCTTCTTTGAGCATAACTCGTCAAAAACAATTTTTTATAAGATTGCTAAGGGAAGTAAGGCAAAGGAAATGACCCGCTTGTCAAAAAGTTAGGCATGGTGGAGATGTGTTACGTATAATGGGCTGTGTGACTTGGTTCCTGTCACCGGCTCGATGAACCAAAACTAACATTTGATCACCCTATATGAAATGCCTTTACTTCTGGAAATAGGCTTACTGAAGAGTTATTATTCCTGCAACAGGTTAATGCCCGGATGATTACAAAATTTTTAAAGGATATGGTGTTACATCTTTGGACTGGCCACCTCAAAGACCAGATTTAAATATTATGGAAAACGTCTGGTCTCTGTAAAAACGCAAAACAAAAGTTTCGTTAGATGAAACTGGGGAGGAGACAATTTCTCAGGTCACTTCTCTTTGGGAAGATATGTCTCCAGAGATTATTAAAAATTTAGTGTGTTCAGTTCCAAGAAGCTTTCAAAAAAGCTATTGAAACCAAGAGATGAATACATTTTACTTACTTCTTCATTTTTGTACTTTTGTTGAGCGTAAACAGTGTTGTTTTTCTTGACATTCTTGACAAAATTCTTATGCCAACACATAAAAAAACTAATCAATTTATATCTTACTAGCGGGTATAGCCCGGCCTTGCCCGTAAAACGTATGTTATAAAATCAATGTTCTCAAAAAGCTTTGAAAATGATTTTGAATTTTTTCTTTCATACAAACGTTTTCGGCCATTCTACCACTGTTGCAAGTGGAATTTTCCAAATCATTGAAACACGTGTTCATTATAACTTTATGTAGAGCTTTAAAAAAAGTTTAATGCAAATCGGACACAACTAAAAATTCAGCAAAAAATTTTTAAATTCACTCTTCACCGAAAAAGTTTAGATTTTTTTAAAAATGACCCCCATTTACACCAAGCAGAGATGGATTTTCTAAAAAGTGCGAAACACTTCTCTAATGAATTTGAACTAAGATCTTTAAAAGTTGAGTATGAGGCCGATCGGATGGTAAACAAAAAAGTTACATACAAACGTTCTTCGCGATTTTTCCATACTTGCGGGGGAACTTCCCGTAACCCCGTCTTAACGTGCACATTCATCACATAAGGTAACTACAGTGAAATTTTCAGCTTATGAGCTCTTACAGTTTTGAGCTACAAAGCTTTAATTTTTACTGGCGCTTTCATTTTGGATATAAAGTTGGAGCGTCGGAAAATTTTATCAGCTGGTTGCAGAAAAGGTGGTAAAATTTTGTATCTAAATGTCGGAATAGGTTTTTTTGATATTTCGGCTTAAATTTTTGACTAATCGGTTAATTACCAGCTTCGTATAATGAAACTAGTATTCTGTGAAACTTTGTATATCCTGAACCCATAAAAAAAAAGCCCGCTCAGTACGAGTTCGTTTCCGATAATCTGTAATTCTGGTTTTACAGCAAATGTCATATCGTCTGGAATACTATATACAGATCAAGTTATTATGGAATACGGGTGGTTATATTGGCAGGCCAAGGGCTTGCGGCAGCTAGTGAAAATTACAATCAGTTGCACCAAAAGACTGTTTTGACAAATAATGACAATTACTAGTTACCCATACGGTAGGGTACGTCGCAACGTCGGATGCCGTATAACATAATGCTCAGCTTGCGCCTCGTGCAACTTTTATATTATGCCTCTACAACGGCCAGCTTGTATTATAGTGACCAGTGCAACTAATATAGTTGCTGGGTATTTATTTATGTTAACTACTCCTCCTTTCAAAACAGGGCCGTTCTCGGTCATGCCTATATCCTTGAGCATCATATGGATCTATAATTTGGTTGCCCTTCCCTGGTTTATAGCGTATACAGTCGACGCCATCACTGCACCAAGCGAGGCTTAACTCTGGCCCTAACCTCTTGAAGGTTTTCTCCGCTTAGCTTATGTGGAAATGGCAGGCTTAAAAGAGTTTGTTGTTCTATGATGTCGAGTGAAGGCGATGCAGTTGACCCGGAACCTTTATGACGAATACGTTGTTATTGCTGAACTTAAAACTGTCGTTGCTCACGGTAACACCATCGTTCAGTATGGTAATTGGACCTAGTTGGTTCGGATGAGAGTTGCTGTGTGCCTGATCTAGCTTGTAGTTCTTGGGCGCATTTGTTGCCAATGGCCTCCTTGCAGAATGTGATGTTACTGGATCCGTTCAATGAGCTGATCGAGACAAATTTATTTTCGCACTCCGCTGCCATGTTTTCTGGTATTGGTAATTACACTGTCGTGTGTGGTTCGGAAAACTACTGTCTTCTACAAACATTCTTAGGAATTCCTTTAATAAGTGGATTATGGCATTACTTGCTATCCAATATATTTTTAAATCGCCGTCGTCAATTATTGTGGGATTTGCTTAATTTATATTGGCTAGCGTGATTGCAACCATCCGATTCTCTTATTCCAGTGTCAGTATTTCTTTTCTTGCCAAAATGATTTAATATAAGTGGAGAGAATCGACTGCCCCATTTTTCTTTAATTATTACGCTTGATGTTGTTTTTTTTTTGTGTTGATCCTTTCTTCCGTTTTAGTGCTCATAAGTATTTGTTTAAAAATATTTAGAATATGCTCTCGTTTTCCCTCACCTAAAGTTATTGCTGTGGCCCACCCTTCCTCAGCATATCATTGCAAACATTTTCATTTCGAAAACGTGAACCTGTTTTTCATCAAGCGTTATAGGGACCCTTTTGGCCGTTGTTGACTTATTCTGCGTTTTGCCCTTGTAATAAATCGGTCAAAGATTTATCTTTAGAGGCAATGTCTATTACGAAGCACCAATAATAGCTAGCAAGTCCTAGAAAGCATCTTATTGCGAAAAGGTTGGAAGGTTGAAGAAAAATTGGACCTCCGTTGCATGTAATAGCCTCTAACTGTGTCGCGTCCAAAATGTGTTTGTTAGCTGTGAACTTTAAGCAACCTTTAATATCTGTGGGCTACAAAGTAAGTCTTTAATATCAAAAGAAAATAATTATAGCGACAACAAATTTTTTGGCTTGATTTAAAAAAAATGTAATTAAGATTTTCACTGACATGACTTTGTCTTATTGTAATTGTCGGAGTGGATTGTCTCGAATTCGTCTGTAACAAAGCCTACTGCTTTGGTGATAATATAATTTTTTTTACGCTTGTAGCTGCGGGGCACGTGGATTTGTTTTAATTATACCTTGCAGAGGGTATTATAATTTTGTCGTGAAATGTGTAATGTATAGAAGGAGACATCTCCGACCCCATAAAGTATATATATTCTTGATCAGCATCAACAGCCGAGTCGATATAGCCATGTCCGTCTGTCTGTTTCTATGCGAACTAGTCTCTCAGTTTTAAAGCTATCTTAATGAAACTTTGCAGAAGTCCCTTTTTCTGTTGCACGCAGCACATATGTGAAAATCAGATCCCTATATCATATAGCTGCCCTAGGAAATTAAGTTGTTGTATGAAAAACGTTTTGTTTTTCAAGATATCTTGAAAAAAATCGGCATTTATTAGTTTTACTATACTCCCCATATAAAGGTGAAATCCTATTAAGATCGGACCACTATATCATATAGCTGTCATAGGAACGATCGGTCGAAAATTGAGTTGTTGTATGAAAAAAAAATGTTGTTTACCAATATATCTCGACCAAACTCGGCATTTATTAGTTTTACTATGCTCTTCAAATATATGCAAAATCCTATGAAGATCGGACCACTATATCATATAGCTGCCATAGGAACGTTCGGTCGAAAATTAAGTTGTTGTATGAAAAAATATTTTGTTTTTCAAGATATCTTGGCCAAACTCGGCATTTATTAGTTTTACTATGCTCCTTATATATATGCAAAATCCTATCAACATCGGACCACTATATCATATAGCTGCCATAGGAACGATCGGTCGAAAACCAGGTTTTTGATTAAAAACCTTATTTGGTTAGCAGGATATCTTGACCAAACTCGGAATTGACTATTTTCTCGGTACTTATTAGATACGGCAACTTATTATGAAAAGGTTGGGTATTAGATCTTCGGCGTGCCGAAGATAGCCTTCTTTCCCGTTTTTTTTTTTTGTTTTGAATTGGTTTCAACGGCGATTGTCGACTAGTATAATGCTGAGCTTGCGTCTCGTGCGAGTGTCATATAACACTTCCGCAACGATTGCGACCACGGAGACAGTGGCTATTGTCAGTATTCCATTGTATTATAGTGACCAGTGCCCAATTTAGCTGCTTTTTGTTCAATTATGTAAACTTACGCTTCTTTATTAAATAAATATATTCGTTTATTTGTTTTTAGACAATGATTTGTTGGTATTACTAGTTGCCTAGAATAGAGGTGGTGTCAGGTAGTTAGAATACGGGCCCGAGTCGAATTGAGGGTACTAATTTTATTTTATTAATACTAAAGCATACGCTGTGTTTGGTGTTAGTTTCGGGTATCCCCTCGACGGAAACTCCTATATTCTCGTACCTACCTAAATTAATTTGCATTATCTTTCTTTAGCTAGTTAGACAAGACGGCAATTTAATAGTGGCATAATTATTTTGACATCATGATCATTGTACCCTGAACCCATTCAAAATGGGTAAAAAGGGTATGTAATGTATATTTTCAATTGTTGGAATAATGAGTGTCGAAATACACACCAACACTCATTCATACAAAAGGTGCAATGACCAAGTAGGCTTTTGTTATTTTCAGTTTTGATACTGAAATGCTTTTATCGTTTAGCCTTACTGTTCTTTGAACAAGTTACTGTGCTCAGAAAAATAAATTAAATATTGAGATCGACTAAACCAACAAGTATTTTATTTAATTGTGTACATTTCAATAGCAATTGTATGTAACAGGCAGTAGGAAGCATCTCCGACCCCATAAAGTATATATATTTTTGATCTGCATCAATAGCCGAGTCGATCTAGCCATGCCCATCTGTCTGTCCGTTCGTCCGTCCGTATGTATGATCCAAAGGATCTCAGAACCTATAAGAGCTAGAGACTTTTTAGATGTAGATGCTCCTAGTTCCCGCGCAGATCGAGTTTGTTTCCGATAATGGATAACTTACTCCGTTTCCAAGAAATCGATAAAAATCGATATCGACATCCTGTTTTTTTTTAACCAAATTGGGTAAATAATAAGAGCTAGAGCCACCAAACATGATATGTTGCTTCTAGAATATTATAGATATTTCAAGTTTCTTTCATTTCGTACCTATCGCCACCTCCCCGCTACCACCCCAGAGCTATAAATCAAGTTAATAATCCAACTTTTATTGTCAACCAATTTAAACCACAATTTAAATGCAATTGATTTTTTCAAAATACACAAATATTCTATGGTACAATAAGATATACTGTAGAAAATTTCATAAAGATCGGTTAAGAAAAACCAAAGTTATATGCAACTGCGCAATTGAATGGGGCAGCAGCTTCAAGAATTTCTGTATATATGTACACACACACATTCATGCGAGTCTGCTTTGTATTCTAATAGCATGGTAATTGCATTTTATTTTTGTTATGTTATTTAAGTTCCTGTTTTTATCATAAGTACTTAATTGTTGGTGTGGCTGCTGAGTAGCCACACTACTAGACTAGAACCTCTTACTTGTTTTTTTTTTTTAAATTGAATTATTGGTATGGCTTTCGAGTAGAGGCGGTAGCAAATAATGAGGTCAATACGGTTTTAAATGTAAATGATTGTGCCATTTTTTTAGCACCCGATTTATCACATTTCGATTTGTTTATTGAGTAGTTTGTCTATGGTGGCTTTTGTTTTGAGAACATGCTATTATTTTGCGTTTCTGTGGGTTTTTTTTATTTGGTTTTTTTACGCTATTGTGGGCTGTTATCGTCCGTAACCAAAATGGTTGCCTTTGTTGCTCATTGCTTCAAGTACTCTCAATACTTTTGAAATAATTATTGATAAAATGGATAGTCTCAGCTTCTTGAGCTAAAGCCAGAGATTATAGCAGGCCTCTGGGACCGGCAAAATAAGAATAACTTGAGGATTTTTTAAAGCGCCTGCAAGGTAGTGTATGCATGTTACATTTGTTAACGTTTTCTTTCAAATTCGGTGTTGCATCTTCTTCCGTTTCTTTCCATATATGTTCTCGTCTGGGAATTGTAATATTAAATTGCTTACATGCTTAATAAGGGTTGCTGATCCACTGCTAAAGCTGTCGCGTAAATAAAGCTTGTCCATGGGATGTCTTCTTTGCGGTTTGTTGTTGTTCATTGTTCTATACTGTGTTATTTAAATAATTTTTGTGCAAATGGGTTTTATGAATTTATCCATTTGTTTGAAAAAAAAAATATATATATATATTGGGGACATCCACTGAAACAATCTGCTTCTTTTAACAAGGACGTAGAAAGCCCACCTCGTTGATGGATTTACTCAATGCACAGGGCACAAAACGACTTATCGTGTGCTATTGGAGCCAGTATCAAATCTCTTTTACATATCGCATATGCATAAACGCACTTGGAATTACACACTTTCCATTCGGAATTATTGTATTGGGCAATACATCTGTAAAATCCGAAACTACACAGGGTTGATTCGGTAAAACGACGTCTGCAAACTCTATTACACGCATTCAATTATGGTCTTCATATGGAAGCAATTATCCAGCGAAATCTATACTTTCCATGCTTACACCTTCGTATTCATAGCCATGTCCGTCTGTCTGTCTGTTTCTATGCGAAATAGTCTCTCTTTTAAAACTATTGTCATGATACTTTGCAGAAGTGCCTCTTTCTGTTGAAGTAAATATGCTGGCATAGAAACGATCGGTCGAAAAGTAGGTTCTCTATACAAACTTTTTTGTTTATCAAAATATCTTTCTCCCTTTCTCGTTTTTTTTTTAAAACTTTGAGAATCTAATTTAAAGGATTCGTGTGTGGATGGGGTGGAGCGAACTTGCTGCAATGATAATGCGTACAAAATTGATTATCATAACTAATATTAAAGATTAAAGACAATTGACACAGTTCGAAAATGAGCGAAACTTCGTGTATATGTGTGTGCTTACGGCATTAAATTGCATATGCAGAAGAGAGCATTAGCTTACATTATCTGCTTATGATATTGCTATTGAAACAGCTGAGTGAATTTAAGCATACATTGATACCATATATAAAAAACTGCTTAAACACCGAGATGGGCTTATGCACCATATTTCTGACGACCAACTAGAATTTGGAAAGTTGGTTTCCCAATTTTTGATGTTTTTAACAACATGTAAGAAACCACAAATAAAGGTCTTGGAATTCATTGGCAGCCAGAAGATGACACGGTAATTTACGAGGTTGCGCTCCAGACACATGAAGCTAGTAGATAAAATCTCGCATAATTCATCCGCTCGGCCTTTTAGAGCCAGTAATCATATTAAAATTTAGTTCATGATTTAAGTTGGATTCTCAACTGCCAACTTGCCGAAATATGGCGATGGTAAGTATAATCGCGATATATTGGCTACATATTGGCTAAAACCGCATTCATAAATGCGGTTACACTCATACCTGTGACATTCCTATCCAATATTTTTTTAAATCGCCGTCGTTCATTATTGTGGGATTTGCTTAATTTATATTTATATTGTGGTGGCAACCATCCGATTCTCTTATTTCACTGTCAGTATTTCTTTTCTTGCCAAAATGATTTTATATAAGTGGAGAGATTCGATTTCACACATTTTTAAACACTAGCAGAGGGTATTATAATTTTGTCGTGAAATGTGTAATGCATAGAAGGAGACATCTCCGACCCCATAAAGTATATGAATTCTTGATCAGCATCAACAGCCGAGTCGATATAGCCATGTCCGTTTGTCTGTTTCTATGCGAACTAGTCTCTTAGTTTTAAAGCTATCTTAATGAAACTTTGCACAAGTCCGTCTTTCTGTTGCACGCAGCACATATGTGAAAACCAGCTGGATCGGACCACTATATCATATAGCAGCCATAGGAACGATCGGTCGAAAATTAAGTTTTTGTATGAAAAAACATATTGTTTATCAAGATATCTTGAACAAAATCGGCATTTATTAG